GTGGTGGGATGACCCAGCTTCCTGTGGTTTTCCCTAAACAGGGGAGACGTCAAGAAGCTGAAGAATTTTCCGGTGAAACAGATGACCTAACTGAACAAAAAGAAGAGAACTTAGGACAATTAACAAGGGATCTAAATGACAATAAATTGAATCTAAATGTACTTGAACATTAAGAGAAAGATAATTAATGATGATTCAATTTGTACTCAAATGAATAAATACATACTTGATTTGGACAATGAAGATTTGGACTCGAATGTGACATGAGCTATAATGACATTGAACTCAAACTTGGATTGGAGTTTTAACCAAATGAGCTCGAGCTTGAACTTGAACAATGCAAAGGACTTGATTTGGACTCAAGTGAACTTGCATAATTTGAACTCAAGCAAAGATTTGATTCAGAACCATAGTGAACTTGGACTCGAACTTGTGAACCTTTGAACAGAATTTGAACTTGATTGAACACATACAAGGGACTTGAACGAATACAAAGGGCGTGAATTGGGACTCAATTTGAACTCAAATGAATGAACTACAAGAACTTGTATTTGAACCCAAATCAAATGACTAATCAAGACTTGAACATAAATTAAATAAGTTCGAACTTAAACTTGATTTGAATATCAAGTGAACATAATTTGAACAACTAACAAAGACTTGCAACTTGACTATGAAAGACTTGGCCTTTAACTTGAATATGAACTCAAATTGGACTCAATGAGCTTAATTTGAGAATGAATTTAAACTCAAATGAACAGTGACATGAGACCCAAATGAACTGCAAAAAACTTAACTTGAACTGAACGACATAATGTAGAAATTGAACTTACTTGGACAATAAGGGATATGGCATGATGCACCCAATGAATTACTCATGTGGGGTATACTCATAAGCAAGGTAGAGGGATCTAGCAACTTCTCCACAAGAAGAATAGTGAATATATTAGCCCACTTATGAGTGATGATGATGGCTAAGATGTGAAAGCAATAACTCCCTTGCAATCGACATCAAATGTCTTGTAGATACAAACGACGACTGCCATATGTATTGAAAAACACGCAAGCAAATGTAACAAATTATCAATCAACATATATGGGGAGATTATTGATAAATGCAATACATTCAGCAATCAATACTAATGTACATGGTGCGCTGAATCTACCTACAAACAATGGTAGTAGAGATAATGTATGGATGATGTATCCCTTACGAACAACAGAGATTAATGTACAAATGAATGTCAGCAATCAAATATGACTCATAATGAATGAACTCTCAATGCATGCAAGTGATGAATGGTGGAGCTAAATGACTTTGAATATTCAACCAAAATCAACCCACAAGAAGCAATGCTTCGACTTTAAGAGAACACATCAATTCTCCCAGCTCATCAAGAAGTGCTAATGCAGGACGTATCACAGATGTGACAGTTATCTAACCAACACATCTAAGAAAACTATAACGACACCTTGCAATCAAGTTCAAGATGTAGATATATACACAATATGCCTTCTGTAAGTAAAGGTAAAGGCAATATGCCCCCAACATGTTCAAAGTATCTACAAGTTGTTGTAGCAAAGACATTATTATCCGACATCATTTGAATGTACCGACTCCCTACAAATAAGAGTAAATAATACGTAAGCGAAGTACAAATATCTTCAGGGCTGTAGGTGACTTGTCATACACATTACATGTTATATGCAAGAAAACACTAGACAATGTACAACAGATATAAGCTCCCACGAGCTTCTACTGGAGCCCCGCTATGAATACTACAAATTATCTACGAACAAATTCAAAAGGACTACAACAAATGCAAGCTCTTACGAGTCATTGTAAAAGATTTGTCATGCACTCGACATGTCGTATGTAAGGCAAATACAGAAGAGAACTACAGTAAATGCAAACCCCTACGAGCTATCGTAGGAGACCCGTTATACATTCAACATGTTGTATGTGAAAAAATATGAAAGAACTATGATGTATGCAAGGATTTATAAATGCAAATAAAGGAGATTCGTTAGTGTACTATGATCCACCTGCAGAAAGCAATAAGTAATGCACGACAATCTACATGTATAAAGCAGAGAACAATTCAATTTAGAAGTTGTTATGCCACGCCACCAGATCTGCAACACGCATGCAAGCAGACAGAAGGTGTGGCACATGTATTGTAATTTGTATACACATAGGTACACAAAAGGGGTAAATGCAATCACAAGACCCACATGGGTCCCGACGAGCATGTAGTAGGAACACATATAACGTCTAGGGATGATGCGCGGGTCAATAGATTTGAACTTGATCCTTCTAAGCGTGTAAATAGGGGTCGACAAGGTTCAGTAAATAATTATAAAATGCCCCCAAACACCTGCATGGGCCTCAGAAAGTGTGTTATGGATACACACGTAACATCTAGGGATGTTGCGTGGGTCAGTAAATAAACACAAGTTCCAGCCCAATCATTCTATGTGGGTAGATAGAAGTCAATACGGCTCGAACCATTAAATAAATATGCGATCGCGAGGTCGACCGAGATATTTATTTTATACATTCATATTAGGCCTTCAATAAAGAAAGTTCACCAATAAAGGTCCAAAGTTTAGAGAATCCGATCCTTTGTCGGAAAGTGGACAGAGTCGACAGGGTTCGACGAATAAATGGAAGTAATCCCATATACCCCGTTGTTGATAAAAAATCTCAATCGGAGGGGTTCCCATATATTTTCAAATACCTTCAAACTTCCTCAAAATACAAAAATAGAAATGACCCCATCACTCCGATGAGGGCCGCATTGAATGTAAATCTCAACCGGATGGGTTAACTTCAAATATATCAAAATGCCCTCAAGCTTTCACAAAATTCAAAAATCTTCAAGTGGCCTCAAAGTTACCCCGATGATGACCGTGTTAAATGTAGATTTTAACCGAAGAGGTTAATTTCAAATATCCAAAATGCTACCCCAAATACTCATAAAATCCAACTCAACAAAATATCAAATTTAAATATTTAAAATTTAAATTCAACCATCAAACCTACTTAAAGTAAAATCCATCCACCCTCCGTAATAGTTTGCCGAGATGGACAAATTGAAAACTTACTTCAACTCATATAGAGCTAATGCCTAGTCGAAGATATCACTGATCCATTCTCAAATAATCTCCTTCTAGCAAAGACGTTGTACGTGTCCTCTGACAGACGGTTTTGCCGCCAAATGATACCGCATGATAAATGGTTATGGCCCGGAGCCCATCTGAACCGAGTATTTTTACTGCCAAATGACACCACGAAATACCGATTATGGTCAGAACCAATACATTCTTTAGTGGCATCAAATCTGTGAGATATGAATCAATAGGATATGATCGATAAGACACAAAGTCATCTGTTAGCTAAGGTGGATTCAAATTTGTCCCCTTAGACAAATATTCACCCCAAGTCTACAAGGTCCCCTTGGGGAAGCAACCCATGGCTGCCGACAAGGATCCTTCTGTCAGGTTGGGTCGGCTACCTCCTCTGACTAAGTAGACCAAGGACCATGATGGCTCGGGACGACGAAACCATGGGATCTTGATCGGGTCCATCATCCATTTCCCCATCATCCGCTTCAAGTGAGATAGTGAAATTTTTATTTTAAATTTCAAACCCTTCAAATTTCAAATGCCCAATGCTACTACTATATGTAGGATACCATGTATCTATGGATACAATGTATCTGATTGACGACTAGCCTTAATCGAAAGTTCTCTCTCGTTATCGGGAGGGGTAATTAACTATAGGGGCTTGCGCCTATAGGAAACCAAAACTCAAATCATAAAGTCCTCGCAAAATGATAGCGAAATCTCTAGTTAGTGTCTTATCTACAAACTCATCTGTCTTCCAAAATTTATCCCATAACTTAATCTGTTAAAACTCCCCCAAAGAAAAGCAACCAACGGACGGAGGCTGGGGTCGAGTTTTCGGAGCCCATATTTGGAAAGAAGCATCAAATTTAGAGCAATTGTTATTCCTAAAGAGTATTTAGCAAATTCATGCTAGGAATTTATCAAATATATTTTTGTCGTGCTCTTGTTGAATCTCTATAGCACATTTTCAACACACTCAGCCTGAGACAATTTTAGTATATTTATACTTCTATCCCTGTTGATTCTCATACTAAGAATTTTTTTTGCTAGACTCAAATCTTCCATTTCAAACTCTCTTCATAACTTCTCACTCATTTATCTTACCTTCTTCATATTTGATATTACAATCAAAATACCATCTACATACAAGAGCAGTAATATATAACAATTATCCAAATATGTGAAAAAATAACAATGATTAGTCTAACATTTCTTGTACCCTTTTTCTAACATAAATCTATCAAATCTCCTACATCGTTGTCTTGGTGCTGGTTTTAGCCCATACAGGTTTTTTTCAGCCTAGAGACCGGATGTTCTTTAACAATGACTACAGTACAAAACGACTGCTTGGCATAATTAGATCCCAACAAAACTAACACTATTTAACTAATAAAATGATGCAGATCCTGACCATTAACAATTGAAATATTTGAGCTTTCTAGGTGCATATCAATACTTTAAACTTCCACGTTTACAAAAACAGCAAACAAAGCAATAGCAAAAGTAGAGTCTTGATTCACAAAAGAGGCAAACCCTAACAGAAAAATGGCCCCCATGAATGTGTTAGAGATATTACTGAATATGGTAATGACAAACAGAAATTTGGACGCACAACATATAAGAACTGAATATTAAAATGGTGCACCTAAAATATGAGGTTACTATCATTACGTGATCATGGGAGGGGTTGATATATGCATCTGTACCTCTCCATTGAAGAGATCATTTTTGTGATTTCACACAATCAAAGTCTATCTCACAATATGGAAAACTAAATCGTTGCTCCTGAGCCTTCCTCAACTAAAACAATAAGTGTGAACATTAAAAAAACACAACTCATGCATGCATTTTCATTTAAACATAATTACCTATATCATTATGCACTTCATACCCTGGAGCAGAAAAAACAAAACCCCAATGTGCTATTTTCTGAACCCTGCTACAAATTGCCATCAGGCATGCTCCAATTGCTCCAATGAGTGATGCAATTTAGGAGTCCTCCGGCGAAATAATGGCTCCAACCGCAAAGATGGAACAGCACTCATCCATCTTTTAGCATCATACATTTCATTCCAAGCTTGAACAATCTCATCAATCTTGAAGCCCAAGCCTAGAACACAACCAAGGTGAAGTTTCAGCGATGTAGAAAAAGTCCTTTCAATTCAAACTCAGAGATAAAAAACCAAATGAGGAAGCATCACAAATTTATTATAAATCTAATCAATAAATGGGAAAAACTCATATATACCTATTAATGTTTATTTATTACCACTTGTCTTAGTACTGTAAAAGAAACACTAGTAGATGCTACTCTTACTATGTACATTACTACTAGATTATTTTTATATTTTCTATAATCAACATAAAGTAATTGGGAGAATTAAAACTCACTAGTAAGTGATTTTTTCAAACCTAATATCAAAATAGACTTCATCAGGAAAAATTCAAACAAATATAATTGTGATATGACCTTAAAACAGTCTATTTTATAGCTCAAAATTCAGCAGTTAAATGGCCTTCTGAATAGGAAGCTCATAGTGTTTGCTGAGAAAATCCGCAGAAGACAAGATAAAGGCATTGGCATTCCAAGCTCGTCATGGGAGTTGAAGCGAGAATCTGACTTTCCCTTCGTGGTTTCGTATAAATAAATAAAAATTGAGAGTTAAGGGGAAAGGGGGGCACGTGGCATGTCAATGCTAATGAATTGTCATAATAATTGCAATGGTGAGGTAGCAGCTAATAATGCAGAATTCAAGCTAACTGCAGAAGGGGGTATGTCGGAAAGGGCAGATTTTATCCAAGATGTTAAGATCAACATATTTCAAAAAATATCCTAGATGGGGGTAAGATTAAAACAGAAGTTATATTTTAAACCTTTTTCCCTGCAAAATTTGGTGAGATTCCAATAAATTGTGTCAAAAGAACAGTCTAAATTAATTTGTTTATAAACAACAGAAAACGATCATTAATAAGCTCCACACATGCTTTTAAGAAGCTTTAAAAGCATATTTGGAAGCATAAATATGCAGAGACTACTGCACTTCATTTTAGGCGTCAAGAAATCAGCTTTGTGAGACAACATGAACAAACATTTCTCTTACGTTGACAAGCTGCACATTGTCTAAGTTTATTTGCATCGCACTCACTAGAGAGATATAGAACTGCATTATTGAAATTATTAAATTCTCCATACATGTATATCTATAGCCTACATCAAAGCCAAAATATCTCTCCAATAAAATAATATTCTACTGATTCCATATATACAAAGGAAATGATAACAAATAGCGAAAAAGAAGAGTCAGTTATACCTTCTTGGGTGGTCTCATTGGCACAATGGTTTTTTATCATAACAGCAATGTCTGTTGGAGAGGCCCCTGCAAGTTTGAATTTTTCAACAGCAGCCATCAAGCACTCCTCCCATGTTGGAAGGCTTAGTTTAAATTCCACAATTGACCGCTCATAAAGAATTCTACCCCAGAGAATATGCAGTTGAGATCTCATGTTTGAGGAGATTTCTGCAGTTTCATCAGTTGAAAACTCTTTGAAAAATTGACCGAGACCCAACTTCTCCAATATCACCTTCTCTTTGTTTGGTTTTAAGCGAGCCTTCAAGCGCTTCTCCTCCATCTCTTCCCATATCTCTGTACCCCTCTCCATATTGTCCTCAGCATTGTTAAAAAGCAATAATACTTCTTTTGAAGGCCAAGTGTCCAAATCTGCCATGTTTCCAATTGCAAAGTACCAAGTGAGTTTTGCATGCTCAAATTGTTGATGCGCAAGAGCAAGGAAACCTTCATAAAAGTCTGGTTTTATCTTCATAGCTTCTTCATAACTTGATCCTGCTTTCTCATATTCTCCCTTGGCCCATTCATATGCAGATTTGACTTTGGTCAACGTGACATCTTTAGAATCATTTTCAGTCAAGAATAATTTCTTCCTTGCTCGAGACATATGTACATTGCCCAAGTTAAACAATGCCAGAGCTGCCATCTCCTGAAATTTTGTTGAAGCAACATCAAAAACTTCCATGGCTTCTTCACTCGTAACAGTATCCTCCATTGCTTCAGAGTAGAGCTTCATTCCGAGCTGATGAAGATCCAAATATGCATCGGAATCTACACCAACATGATTCTTAAACAACAGAGCGAATTCCACAATCCACTCATTAATGCAAAAGGAATTTTTTTGTTCCTCAGCATTTCCTAATCTCCCGTTACTGTTAACTCCATTAAGGTTTCTCTCAGAAACTTGCACTTCACTGTTTTTATTTCCATCATCAAACAAAGGCTCGTGCTCTGGTTTAACTTCACTGACATAAAGCCTAAGTGAACCCTGTGGATCAGCAGACTCATCTGCCCACCTTAGCTCCTCAGATGTAGTAATGGTGACTAAATCACCTTCCTTGTCCCTATATTTGATGAGGACTGCCTTTAAGCTTGGAAACCTGTTTCGGACAATCTCCCTCAACTGTGATAAGCTACAATTGCCAGGTATCCGAGCAAACCTTATATCCTCCCCAAACACTAACTTGACAGCCTTCAAGGGTTCTTCCTTAACAACAGTAGGCTTCTCTGCAACAGGATTCACTGAAACAGGCTTCTCCAAAAGGGTCTTCTCCTCCACAACCACCTTATCTACAGTTTTGTTGTTTTTCTTCTTTTTTGTCTTCTCTCTGACCGGTATAATCTCAGTTGATAAAATAACTTCCTTATCGTTCAACTGAATTCCTTTAACTTCAAGTGCTTTCTTAATTTTGTCAGAGACCTCCAAAGCCGTGAGATTGTTTGGCTCCAAACTCAATACAGCGTCAACATCTTTGTACGCCAATTCCAACCTGTTCAAGGCTTCCAAGCACCTAGCCCTCTTCAGCAGTGCTTTGGTATATTTGGGGGACACCTCGAGAGCCAAGTTACATTCATGGATGGCTTTGTGGTATTCCTCCGGCCCCATCTGCATATAACAAGCAGCTAAATTGCTGTGGAGATAAGCAACGTCAATATGATTCTTAGGAAGAAGCTTGATGGCCTTCTCATACTTCACCAAAGCACCATCATAGTCCCTTTTTTGAAATAGTTTATTTCCTTCATCCTTCATATCATTAGCCATATCTATAAAGATCGCTGTGTCCTCATCAAACGCCTTTGGGCCGTGCACGGTCGACCTATTTTTCTTCGAATTGTCATCCGCAGATTTGACGCTCAACGATTTCTTCTTCTTTGCAGCAGGCTTGCCCATTTCTGATTCAGAACCAGATTAAAAAAACCTTCGATTAGAAACAAACCTCAATGACCAAAAAAAAAAAAAGGGATCCGCGAGATCCAATAAGGAATCGGAACAAACGTTTATCCCAAACTGACCGGCTGAGCTAGCAAAACACTGATTAAGCGTCAAAGAGCCCTTTCCCAATTATCACACAACCAGTAATCAAATCTAACTTTAATGCTTCTGAAAATCAATCAAAGAAGAGGACAAGACTCATCGCGACGTGAAAAATCCTCCGACGGCACAGAGCAACTCCTCTATCGGCTTCCCTTTCTCAAAGTTTGGAAGAAAAAAGGATAGCGTAAGGATTAGACAGCAAGGAAAGAAACGAAGAAACCTCATACAGGAGATATCTTCTAACGAAAGGAATCCGCCGACCGCGCCGACCGGACGAAGTTCAGTTGGTCCCCTTCTCCATTTCCTTTCCTCACGTGGCCGGCTGGCACTCGCCAAACGCTAAGTCGACGGTCGGATCCTTCCCCATTATATACGAAACGAACGCACGGCAGAAGAATGCATTTTACTGGCCTCAGCGAACACGACATCTCGCTGCAATTCCATGGCGGGTTGCCGAACTGTCACCAGCGAATGGAAGGCCGGCACGTTATGTTTAAAATAAAGAGAATGACACGTGTCGTTTGGCAATTGGAAACATAGGGTGTGTGGTAAACGCTTCGGAGTTCGTTTGCCATTTTGTTATTGTTCTTTTCTTTTGGCGTGAACCATTATGTGAACTCCGAGCTTCTTCGCGATAAATAAGAACAGAAAAAACAGAACACGCGCCAAAAAATTGTCAGCAGATTTGGGGTTTTTTTTTTTGTGTGTAAAAATTTTCAGTTTTGGGATAGTATATATTAATTTTTTATGATTATATTTATTTTAAAATAAATTTGATAATTTTTAAACTTATTAATATCTTAAAATACTTGATTGATTTTTTAAAATAAAAACATGTAACAAATACATCTAAGTAATATGTTTTGAAAATAAAAATAAAATGTTCCCAGCCAAACCATGATTCTGAAGCTTCATTAGATTTCCATCTTCTCTTAGCTGCTTGATGTTCTTCTGGCTGATTTTCAATGTTGACTGATTGGAGAGGTTGAGGATCAAGTGGGGTTATGTCCTGCTGACTTGAATTTGATATTCATACTTTCGAAAGGAATTGCAGAATTATTGGCACTAAGATCGACGAGTGTAGTCTCCAATCAGTATAGGCCACTCATGATCTATATTCATCATCTCCTTAGCTAATTTGGCTAGATAATATGCTTTACTATTTTGGTCTTGAGGAACTTGAGTTAATTTGATGGTTGGAATTTGATTCATAAGCTGAAGAACTCATCGGTGGTAATTGGCCAATTCAAGTTTACAAATCTTGCAGATGCCTAGGACTTGATCTATCACAAGCTAAGAGTCGCTGAAGATTCAGAGATTTTGGATATTGACATTGATCGTAATCTCCAGTCCTGCTATTAAAGCTTTATTTATTATTGGTCCGAGGTTCGTTCAAACTAAATGAAAACCTCATTATAATACCCTCAGGCGCTATGAAAATGAGACTAATTCCAGCTTGAGCTTTTGCCAGATTTGAAGGTCATACATGCTTAATTGACGACACTTCATTGAAGTACATCACTCATTTTTATAGTTTCACCTTCCCTTCGACATGCATGATATGTTCATCGAACAGATCTTTATTGAGTGGTGAATCTGCAGGGATATAACGTGTAGCGAGAAAATGTGTCAACACCTGCCCTTTCACTATCTTTTGCGGGACATATATATATGATATGAAATTGCAGGAGTATTACTACCCACCTTGTTAAGTGACCTATCAATCTTGGTATTGTTATCAAAAACTTCAGTGAATATATCTTTGATATCAACGTGAGTTTGTGAGATAACATATAGTGGAAGAGTTTCTTAATGGTAAATACAACAGCAAGTAATATTTCTTGATAGGAGAATAATGTATCTCAAATCCAATCAGCCCCCAATTGATGAAGTAGAGCACATTTTTCTTGTCTTCTTCATTGTGCTGGGCCAATAATGCCCCGAGGGACAATTCTAGTGCTACCATGTACAATATGAGAGACTTCCTTAGAATTGACGCTACAAGAATAGGCGGGTTCAACAAGTATCTTTTGATGCTGTCAAATGCTCCTTGACATTCTGCGCTGTATTTGAAGCACACATCATACCTCATCAGTTTTGAAAATGGCTAGCACCTACCCGACATATTTGATATGAATAGTTAAAAGAAAGCTAGTTGCCCTTGCAAGGAGAAAAATTGAAGGAAGTTCTTTAGTGGAGATATCTCTGTAATGGCCTTGATTTTGCTGGGGTCGATCTCGATTCCTTAATGGCAAAAGACGTACCCATAAACATTCTAGATGAAACACCAAAAACACACTTGAGGGGATTTTTCTTTAAATTAGACTTCTTGATCCTTTCAAATACAGTCCTCAAGTCATCTAGGTGGTCTTTCCGGTCCATGCTCTTGACGACCAAGTCATCTACATAACACTCGACCTTATGATGAATCAACTTATAAAATATGCGCATCATTACTCGCTGGTAGGTGGCACCAGCATTCTTCAAGCTAAAGGGCATGGCCATGTAGTATAATATGTTGATGGGCTATATGAGTGACGTATGCTTTTCATCTTTAAGTGCCATTTTGATTTGATTATTTTTGGACTATCCATCCAGGAAGGAGAATATATCATAGTTGGACGTGTTATAAACTAAAAGTTTTAACATTATGTGCAAAAAGTCATCTTTAGGATACACCATGTTGAGATCCCTAAAGTAGATGTAAACACACATATGTCCGTTCTTCTTCTTCACAACAATAATGTTGACGATCCAATCAGCATATTTTTCTTCATAAATGAAGACAATTATAAGCTTCTTCATCTCTGCAATCAGTTCTTCTTCAATCTTTAATCTCCAATCTCATTATTTTTGGAGTTTGTTTGACGGGTGACACATATGGCTTGATGGACAATCTGTGAACTTTTACATCAAGGGATAAGCAGGGCATCTCGACGTATGTCCAGGAAAAGCAATATCAAATTCATTGAGAAGTTTATTTATTTATTCAACTTGCTCTTCAGGCAAAAGAGTAGTAATGAAGGTTTGGTGAATGTCCTCTTTAGTCACCAAATTGACTTCTTACCGTTCATTCATAGTAGTTGCTTGTCCACCATCTTTTAGTGCATTAATAAAAATATCTTCAATCTTAAGGAGCTTGCACTACATTATAAAATTTTTTATTACAATTTTATGTTTGATATCATTCATTTTTTCACAAAAAAAAAAAAATAAAACAATGGTATGTCTTTCATGACTTAACACTCAAATACTTCAGATTTTTCACAAGAAATCTCAAATACTATTAAAATTAGGCAACTTAGGGGCCATTTGGAATCACTTTTATTTTTTTTTTAATTTTTTATTTATATTTTAGTATAAAATAAAATATGTTTGATAACATAAATGTAACATGTTTTTATTTAGAATATTCAAAGACTTTTTTACTTAGTAAAAAAACTAAATTCTTTTGAAGATTCATATTTTTCCATAGGCTTTCTATGTTTCAAAGCTACATTCTCCACACATATATATTATCAGATCACCCAAAATGAATAACATCAAGATCATACGGCCAAGGTCTTTCAAAAAAATATGAGCAACATATATAAGTAATACATGTTTTAACATATTCTATCAGTATAGGCACTAATTTCTTCATCAAATTTATGAACATTAGAATTCATGACATTGAAAGGATTATTCAATAAAATATTATAATAGTCACTAATTTCTTCATCAAATTTATGAACATTAGAATCATTAATTTTATTCCCTTCATCTCTCACATTTACTTTTGCATTTCCTCTAAGATACTGTTTTTTTTTTAGAAAATCAACGACGAGTCCTACATGTTAAAATAATAAAGCGATTACAGGTCCTAAAAGGATCAAAAGTTTGACTAAAAATTACAGCATCTGAAATAAAACCTAAAGAGTCTATGATCCAACTAATAAAAGTAACAACCAACAAAGGCAAAACTAGACAACCAAGAAAACTCAAAAAAGGAGTTTATGTAGAAAAACTAGAAACCCAAAAGCGAGCAATAGCACTGTTGGAGAAACAAATCAAACAGCACGAGCAACTGCAAAAAACACAACCCAAGAGCATCCTATTAAAAACCCAAACCACAGCACCACAAACGAAAGCCAAACCCTCATCCAAAACAAAAACAACTAAAAAAACCAAGCACCACCTTGACAACAAAACAAGCAGCCAAACCCAAAGCTAGAGTATCACAGGCCTGTCACCAACCCAAACTATGCCCCAAAACAACCAACCCCCCAAACAAACCACTGCAACAGAACAACAAACAAAATAAGAGGGTGGAACCCGAGAGAGTTCAGGGTAGACAATTGCTCACCTTGAAATTTTATTTTTTCTTAAAAGAATAAGTATTTTAACTTTTTGCCCACCTTCAAAAATTGCAGCTGTCCAAGTTCTCATGATTTTTTTATTTTATATAAAACATTATGTATTTCACAAACTTTTGTTATCCACCCACAAATGAGAGGCTGATTCTGCCCCTGAACTCACTAGTTTAATGATCAATCTAATGCAAATCTTTGTAGAAATCTTAGATTCAAATGCATACATAATTGATTTATGTTTAGTGCCCTTATTAACTGTAGTATTATATTAACTCTTAAATCTTGTTAAGTATAATAGATAGAACTTGATTACCTTAATGAAATGAAGCATTTGTTTCAATATGTAATAACCTTTTAAAATCTGCAAACATAAATTTTATTCAAAGTCTAATTTAAGTTGAAAGTTTGTTCAAGTAATGAAATTTGACAGTAAAACTGAACCATTAAAGTTTTTGATGATCAATTCAAGAAAAGAATCTTTTGAAGTCACACAAACAAATAAACAATAAGATTTCATGGGAACAATACGTTAACACATCTTCTTGAACTATAAAGCAGTGTTATACACAATCTAACACTTTACGCTCAGTCAAGGTTTCTGACCCCTGTTGCATTGGATGACCAAATCAGTAACTAAGCTCTAAAACGACACTTGGAGTGACAATTCAATTCTCTTTATCGCAACTGTGGATCATTCTGACTACAAATCATTTAGTGCCAAAACCTCTTTACATGATGAATGATCACAGAAACCTCTCAATTGATTTAGGCTGAGTTTGGAACGGCTTTTTTACTGCTTCATAAAGCAGCTTTCTAGCACAAAAATTAAAATTTTTATACTAAAAAACTGCTTTAAGAAACATAAAAAATTTCGTCCCAAAACGAAGTCTTAATAAGATACATGGCAGAAATGGTGAAGAGCATTTCATTTTCGAACCGAGGGCGGAGTATCAAAAGGCAGTTCAATTGGTGTGGCATTGGCATAAAATTCTTCCAAGTTATAAAAAGCCCGCTGTTGTGGAAGAAATATGTGAACAACCACATCACCTGCAGAAGTAGGCAGCAGCTAGTTTTCTTCAGCTGAAAGATTTTTGGAATGTATCATAAGAAAAAGCTACATTGGTCATGGTGAATGTCAGTTCTGCCTCTTGTTCAAGCCTATTTTGAAGGTAATCAGTTTCCATTATGATAGCTTTTGTTTTCTATAACTTTAGGCTTCGTTTGAGATGGCTTTTTTGCTGCTTCTTAAAGAAGCTTTTTAGTACAAGAAGTAATTTTTTTTATACTAAAAAAATGCTTTAAGAAGCAACAAGAAAGCTGTCCCAAACGAAGCCTTAGTTACTAGATATGCAGGGGCGGAACCCCTTCGTAGTCGGAGGGGGGGGGGGGGGGGGATTCCCCCCCCACACAGTCTCT